AGAGAGAGAGAGAGAGTTAAACCTAGAGAGCCAGACAAACCTACCAAGGTTTCACCTAAGCGGATTGTCAGGTAGGTTTGTCGGGCTTTTTAGGTTTAACTAGGTCTGCTCTACTTACCGTATTGAGCACTTTATTTAGTTATTTTGCTTACTTGTATCGGGGTTTTTTTCTTTGGACTTTGGACTTGCATGCTAGACGATTATTTTCGCTGACATATATGTTCTTGGTTCTTTCTTTTTTTATACCTTTTTTCCCTTTGGTATTGGTTTTATTATTCGCAAATCAAGACACTGAAGGTTTTCCGGACGAGTATAATTTCTTATACTTATAAGATTATTATTACTACTACTACTACTACTACTAATATATATATATATATATATATATATATATATATATATATATATATATATATATATATATATATTTTTTTCAGCTGTCAGTATAAATCATAACACCCACGAGCGCTTAGCAATCAGTTTGTATGAATCGTCTTCAAGAAACGATTGCAAGATCTAAAAGGTCAGCCAATCTAACAATGATCGCATCTCACAATCCTTGCGCTTGCTCCATATGCGGCCTCCTTTGTAAATGACTAGCGTGTTTTAAGTGCCACTTAAGATTATCGCAGAAAATTTCATAACTGAATCACTTAAGTTGTCAGATCCTCATACGTTAAAAACGACGGGAGATTCCATTATATATATTATATATATATATATATATATATATATATGGAGACTTTTTTTTTATTTCCGACCACGGTCGGCATGTTGTGGCCGTGTTCATAGTTGATATTACTGAAAGTTGGCTACTTTTTTCTTATTAATGCTTTCACTACTATTAACCTTTTTTGCATATGGATCAGGCTATTATTGGTCGTATTTTCCATATGTTTCGGACAGAGGTTTGTAGGTCGCCGTGTGGGGTGGGGAGACTTAACCGAGAGCTGTAAAATGAGTCTTCTTGATAATGATGTACGACTCTATGTTCTTTCAGCGATTATTTTAGCCATTATGAAGGATGATATTATTTTTCTTTTAACTGAATGTGTGAAAGTTTTTCTTTTTTGACTTCAGCTAATATAAAAATTTCATCTACGTTGTGGACATATATTTTGGGTTGATTAACTTTTTAAAATATCTTTTCAACATCAGACATGTAATAGTTTGATGCGCACGATCCAAGTGGATTTCCATTGAATTAAATGTAAAAATAAAATTATCCTTGATAATGGCTAAAAGATTAGCCGAAAGCGTACGGTGTATGTATTTTAGTTCGCACAAGCACTCCCACGCGTTCGAGCATAGGCAATTGTCATTCTTCTTTGGTATCGAGACTCTAGCGCGACATACGTTATGAATATATTAGCTCTATTGAAGTACCGCGCATATATATATATATATATATATATATATATATATATATATATTAATAATATTTTATTTAAAAATATTTTACATCGCGACACAGAAATTTCCGGAACCTTAAATTTGTTCCATTACCAAGCGATGTTAGATAACCTTTTAATCTAACTATTCTTTCTCTTTATTTGGACACACACACACACACACACACACACACACACACACACACACACACACACACACACACACACACACACACACACACATATATATATATATATATATATATATATATATATATATATATACATATAGTGTCCTAGGTAAGACGATAAACTACATCCGCTTACTTGGTAAGACGATAAACTACGTCCAACAGCAAGGCCTCTGCTCAGGAGGTTTTGAGGAGTGTCGAACCACCTCTTAATTGCTAATGTTCCCAAGTCCCGGGGTGATAACACCTGTTAGTGTCCCAGCTTTGGGCAAATAGTTAACCCCCAAACTCGTCCTTGTCCTGCGTGAGATGACAAATTAGATCTGGCGTCCTGGGTAAGATGATAAACTACGTCCAACAGCAAGGCCTGTATTCAGGTTTTGGGGAGCATGTTACCACCTCTTAATTGCTGGTGTTCCCAGGTCCACCCTGACCCAGGGTGGTAGCATCTGTTAGGGTCCCAGCTATAGACAAATAGTTAATCCCCAAACTGAAAGTGTAAAATCGGTTCTAATACCAGCAATAAATTTTTTGAGGAGAAAATTATTTCCAGCAATACATTTTTGAAAGAAAACAAAATATTACCAGCAATACACTTTTGCAAATAATTATTACTAGCGATATATTTTTTAACAAAAAATATTGCTGGTAATAAATTTTTGAAGGAAAAAATATTACCAGTATTAAAAAAAACTCGGTATTAAATAGTCCATTTAGGTTGATATGCCTATAACAAACGAAACCAAACTATATATATATATATATATATATATATATATATATATATATATATATATATATATATATATATATATATACGTTCTTTTTATAGATACAAATATTTAAGAAAATGCACTGTTTAAAATAAACAATATTAACGACATTTGCCGACCTGAATGTCCGAGAAATTTTCATAGAAAATATGCGTCCTCCGAGAGCAATCGAATATTTTCTTTGAAAATTTCTCGGACATTCAGGCCAGTAAATGTTATTAATACTGTTTATTATAAAACAGAGCATTTACTTAAATATTTGTATCGATAAAAAGAATACCCGCTCGGCCCGGTGGCTAGAATCAAAGTGTAGTATCTGCGCTTTGTGAGCTGCCGGGTCGGGTGTCTGTCGAACTCTCTGCTTGCAGAGGGGAACCCGGACGAAGCTCCGCCGAAGGGTAGGGTTTCGTTGGGGGAGGTTGACGGAACTGGCCCGCCTCGGCGGGTTTGTATGGTTATTTATTTTTGGCTGTCCCTACGGGCTCAGAGATACCCACATTAAAAAGGCCTTGTGCCACATTCAATTCCTGTGGGTGAATTGATAAATACCATCTATAAAAAGAACGTATAAACATAAAAATGTCTTAAAATAATTGTTGGACTTTGTCCATTTTTCATATATATATATATATATATATATATATATATATATATATATATATATATATATATATACACGAGAGAAAGAACAGATGGAATACAAATCCACTGTCCGTAGCATTTACTTTTAATTAGTACTGAAAGGTCAATTAGTAGTGTTTTCTAACACTCACAAGTCCCATTTAAGAGATGCAAGCAATCATGAACTCCAGACATATAATCCAGATATCATTCATATCCAATAAATACCGTATATCCCGTTAATATCATAACATATCTACTGTTTGTTTGCAGTTTTGTTGACAACCATTAGGCAGCTTCTTAGCCGTACTGTCTTTCATTCACCTCGGCATACCGTACGGCATCTTCCCAAATACCAATCCCATCCGAGTAACACAGGTTGACAGTTATGTTTCATATGTACCAAGAATACATCAAGCCTACTTACGTCAGTTTGTGTACGACTTAAAAAAAACGATTACCGAAAATAAAAACAACTGTCACCGCTCCTGCATGTGAAGGGTCTGCATTTATTTTATTCTCTGTAATACTAAATTAGGTGATGTTAACTACTATAAAAGGATAGTCGATACTATATTCCTCTACTAATAACAACAGTTAAATTCCCAGATAAATTCTGTGAACAAGACAAATTGTTATAAAATAAACAATTGTAAAAAAAAGGCGTCGGCACGCGTTTCGTCTTCCGACGTTTTTCAAGGCAAAAATGAAATCGAAATGTCTTTGTTGTTATAGTTACATTAAAAAATTTAAAAAGATAGACGCTTCTGTCCAAGCCTTTTTCTGGTTAATGTAAATTTCCTTTATACTAAGACATTTTTTTCCATGTCGACAATACAGTTAAATTCCTACATCAATTAATGTAACTATAACAACAAAGACATTTCGATTTCTTTTTTGCCTTGAAAAAGTCGGAAGACGAAACGCGTCGGCAAAATCTAAGATTTTTTTTTTCCAATTCTCATTTTATACCAATAACGACTGTGTTAGGGCCGGCGCAAAGGCAACACCATTTGCATTCTTGACCACAGCCCTGAAAAATCAACTGGGTGTTGGATGTAAACATGCCGTGTGGCTTGTGGTGGTACGTGCGTTGTTTCTCATGTTAATGGGTACAACATTGTGCTAAAGTATTGAAAATCTAATTAATAATATCCACAAATACTTAATAATAAGTCCAAAAACCTGACACCATAAAGTCGGCGACTTAGACTCACTCGAACGGTAAGCTGTTAAATACGCAAATATTTTTTTTTTTTCAAAAAATTCCTAAAGTACGTCTTGCCACTTCCAGCGCCTTTGCAGCTGGGAAATACGGCATTTAAGAGAGTTACAAAAAAACATTCATGGGCTGCTTGGAAAAAACAATTAGCGGAGGATGAGATAACAAAATGAAGCTAACACACAAGTAAGCGTGACCGAGTGTTTCAGCGTTTCGTTAGAAACAAAGAGTGCTGAAATGTTACGTGATATTTGTTCTACTGTATGGAATTGAATGCTGGACAATCTCCTCAATGATGAAGAAGAGACTTGAAGCAACAGAAATGTGGTTCTACAGAAAGATGCTGAGGATTCCATGGACCAAACATGTGAGCAACGACGACGTTTTAGAGAAAATGGAAACCAAAAGGAAAATTATATTGACATCAAGAAGTGACAGTTGAAATTAATGGGACACATAATGAGGAAGAAGGGCTTGGAAAATCTGTCACTCACAGAGCAGATTGAAAGCAAAAGGAACAGATGGCAAAAACGCATAGCATACTTGACGTGCTTGAGAAAATGGATGGTGGAAAAGGGTTTTAGAAATAACAAAAAGACAGAATTTATTTAGAGCTGTAAGAGACAGGAAATTGGGGAGAGACATGATCGCCTACATCCTGAGGGGACTCAAAAAATAAAAAAAGAGAGAAAGTTGAGCTCTCTATGCTGATTTTGTTCATGGTACTCTTGTTCTTCTATCCCCAATCTCTCTCTCTCTCTCTTTGTGTGTGTGTGTGTGTCTGCTTGCGGAAACACATACTGTAGAAACACCAGTTCCCGTACGATCACCGAAGTTAAGCAACGTCGAGCCTGGTCAGTACCAAGATGCGTGATCGCATGGTAATACCAGGTGCTGTAAGCTTGGATGTGCGGGTACTGCAAAGGACAGGAAATTGGGGAGAGCCATGATCGCCTACGCCCTGAGGGTACACGGTACATAAAGAGAGTCCTTGTTCAACTACTGATCACGTTAAATTAAGCGCTCCCTCCCAGAAATTCAGGTCAGCTTAGCATAGTTGTTGTACAAACCGTAGCTGGCTTCTATGTGGGGGTTCAAGAAACACCGATGTGCCTCATGCTGATATTACATAACTTTTCTTTGTTTCCAATGCAATTTTCCTTTTTCTTATTAAGTTGCTTAACTTTCGGAAGACATCTTTCTCTCTACCACTTCGCCTTTTGATTTCAGTGTCACATTTTCCATCCTCTGTTAAAACACTTCCAAGATATTTCAGGTTTTGCTCTTGTTTAATTTTGGTATCTTTAATATGTAATTCGCATGTTGGCTTGTTCATTCTACTAACAATCGTAGACTCTTCACGGGTTAGATCCCTGCCAGGAACTACTACTGTACTGATGCGGCATTCACCCTGGGCGGATTGAGCCGGCTTCTTCCTGTTATGAGAAGAAGATTCTTGGGATAAATTACAGAAGTAGGGTACCCAGGCCTACTCGGATAACGTTCTTGCTTGCCGCGGGATTCCCACAGACGCAGAGACAGGAACGACCAGAAGCCGCCGGTTACCGATGCAGACGCTCCTTGGATTTTCACCAGAGCCCTTGTTAGCCGGCGTGTGTGTCAGACCTGTCCGCCTTGGGTGACCCTACCAGGAACGAAGTTCCGGGCGGCATAGCTCTGACACTACCGTTTACACCCCCCCACCGACTGTGAGGTAAGGGTTGGACTTTGGGGGCTTACAGTACCAGGTGTTCCCAAGCGGTCCCCCATCTAAGTACTGACCTGGCTCTACGATGCTTAACTTCGGTGATCGAACGAGAACCGGTGTTTCAGCGTGATTTGACCGTAAGCTGCCAGGAACACATTCTCTTTACTAAGATTTCGCAAACGCAAAGCACAGCCTAAGCCAATAGATCTAATTCACACTCTTTAATAAACTAATTATTATCTGCTTCAGAAATTAATTAACCACACGTGTAGTAGCCGCCATTAATACCGTATTTAAATTAATGCTATACGTGATACACGCCTGCACAATTATGTCTCTTTCGATACACGATTGACTAGGCAGATATTCCCGCAGTAGTCTGCTGTTTCTTTCTACAGTAGACTGGTTGCCAACCAAGGTTATAGGGCCCAATTTTTCCAGTTATTCCATCGATAGTTGCGAGGAGATGCGTTAGATTCATGCCTTTCACAAAGATTTTTGTGCGTAAGTAAATGTAACGAAGCCAGTTGGAATCCGAACTCGTTTATTCGAATTCTCATTTCTAGTTGATATCCATTTAGCCACACCGAGCTTACATTATAAGTTGTAAGTCTTTGATAAAATCCGAAGAAGATTCTTCAATGCTAGCGGTCCTGACCTACCATCTCGGCTTCAGTCACTTTCCCAACGCCGTAATGCAGGATCGTTGTGCCTTTTCTATAAACACTTCCTTGGTAATTGCTTTGATGAGGGTACCTAGACTTTATTAATTTAAGCGCAGTACAAGATTGGCGGCAAGGTCTCATCAGATTAATGTTGAAATGGCTGCTAGATGTAACCGTTATTTTTTTTAATAGATTCTTCTATCGCACTTCACGTTTCTGGAACTCTCTTCCGGATTCTTGCTTTCGAATCAAGTAATAAATATTTACAAATAGCTTTTAACTCTAAGGAGTGCTTCAAAAATACATACGTAATGTCAATCGGTATCTTCTGCTGCAAGTACTCATCAATGACTATACCGAAGCCAACTGGGAATCGACCTAGACTCTGAGTGATATCTCATTCTGAGACATTGCCTCATTACACCACAGCGCACATTAGCTATTATCTCGTAAGCACATCAAAAGTTGCTTGGTTAATGTTTAGAAAACACTTCAATTCTTAACTTCAGAAATACCGACAACAATATGTTCGAAAGTTGGAAACAAAATAATTGAAACGAAATCGAAAAATGTTAGTCCTAATATTTCATGCTATAAGAACAACAATCAAGTTTTTTACTTAACGATTTCTAGTTGTTGAAATGGTAACAGGGAGTTTTGTGCATCATAGCGGATTCATTTGATGCTGTCTGGTGAGTTCGGCAATGTTTATAGAATCAGAATCAAATAAGGAAGAAAAAAATGTTGCCCATTGTTAACGTTTACTGACCGTATTTATAAACAGCTTTTAACTCTAAGGAGTGCTTCAGTTTGGATTTTGCCTTTGTTCTCACTAACAACATGTAGTGATTTTTTCCCCCTGGACAAGTCAAATAGCTCCTTTGTGTATGTGCGAATGCAGTTTCTTTTTTCTTTTCTTTTTTTTTTTTCCTAGGTGAAATTGGGTAGTTATCACAGCCAGGTTATGTTTAAGATTCGGTCATAATATATCGATGATAATGTACCAACACTTCAGAGGTTAATTGCCGTAACGGTTGGTTTGCAATGCCTGTATAAATTTTTCTTGGTTACAAAGACACACACACACACACACACACACACATATATATATATATATATATATATATATATATATATACATATATATATATAAAGACAATCCTTAAAATCCATTTCGGTTATAATTTATTTCATGAATATATTTAAATATTCAATTCTTCAGACCGAAGTTTGTTTTATAAATTAAATCAATTTGTCCAAAAAAAAAAAAAAAATAGGGAGCAAAAAGAAAGAAAAAAGAAAACGATAGTTTATTATATATATATATATATATATATATATATATATATATATATATATATATATATATAATAACAGAAGAAGAAATAAAAATTTCAATATAAAATTCCATATTGTTTTTTAATTTTATAAAAAAAAATACCTCTTCCTTTTGTCCGGACAAATTGATTTCATTTCTAAAAGGACCTTCAGTCTGAAGAATTAAATATTTAAATATATTCATGAAATAAATTATAACCGAAATAGATTTTTAAGGATTGTCCTTACTTATTATACCATATTATGTTATATTATATTATATTATTTTTTTTGCAATATATAATGTTTTTACCAATTTATGTGTTTTCCTTAGAAATAAAAAGATATACATTGAGCTCTCTTCGGATTAATGACCTCCTTGGAATCATTCCTAGCAATTACCAACTGTTACCAACAATTACTAATATATATATATATATATATATATATATATAATACATAAAGTTCGGGTGCACTTTAAAAGAGTCAAAACTATTCTTGGAGGAGCCTTGTGAAGGCAATGTAGAATATATTTTTTGTAGGTGTTTATAACCAGTTGCGTAGATGTGATTGTTCTATGAAGCATTTTCAATTTGAAAACATAAATCTTGAATATTACTCGCTTCATTTTTACCAGACTTTGCATTATGGTACGTTGTGTCCTCCGCATCGTTTTAACCAACTGGTATATATTCATGAACGTTCTCAAATTGAAAAGGCTTGATAAACCAATGACATCCACGTTTTTGTATATAAACACATGCAAGAAAATAAATCTGACATTTGCCTTAAGTCTCTCAGAGGACGAAACGCGTTGGCTAAGAAGGGTTTTTCCGCTTTTCTTTTTATTTATTTTGTTGTTTTACAAATACACTCTATCTGAAAATAAATATATATAATGTATATAATGTATTTTAAAAATGAAACATCTTTCCTGAAGCTTCGATTTTAGTTAAATTTCAAACTAATAAATTAAAATTAAATCTAATATTTACCATAAGGAAAACCCTTTGCTGTATCTCAAACTGAATTAAACTTTCTTTCTTTCTCTTCGTTCATACCTTTTTATCTTTTTATTCATCGTTCTATCCTTCTCACTTTATTTTATTCATTGTTCCCCCCTTTTTTTTTGTCTTTCTATTTCTTTCATTATTTTCTTCATTCTTTTACATAATTCAAACTTTGGCGTACAATAAACAGTGTCTTTTGTTTCGTTTTTGATTTTGAATGTGTGTTTCCTGGAAGACTGAGGCGAAATCAGCGACTAATGGTGTGATGATGAGTCAGAACCCCCCCCCCCCGAGATATTGATAGAAAGCCTAAGACAGAAAAAGATAAAGAAAGAGAAAAAAAAAAAAGAAGACCGAAGTGTGTTTACACTCTAACTGATTAGAAACTGACAAAGGCGTGCCTCAACTTAGCACCCTGAGATTTTAGATCGTGCACTTGACCAGTACCGCCGAAACATTTTTCTTTCTTTCTTTTCGTCACAATACACACGCACAAGCGCGCACAATCTCCGAACAACACAAATACAAGGATAGATCAAAGAGTACGTATACTGACACACTTATTGGCTGGTTTTTCATCTGAAATTTTCAGAATAATGTCTAACTTATCTTACTAATATGTATTGGCAAAGTCGGAGATTAGTTTTGAAAGGAAACATTTGTGTTGTAAAATAAATGCTGTTCTCGTTACTAACCAAAAGATTTATTAATGTATCTAAGTATACATACATACACGCACACACACACACACACACACACACACACACACACATATATATATATATATATATATATATATATATATATTGGGAATTTGTGACTGGTAAGGATAATTCCAAAGAGGACATTAATCCAGAGAGAGCTCAATGTAAAATACAGAGCATAATAATAATAATAATAATAATAGTAATAAAAAATCAAGAAGAAAGCCTTAAAGATCAATTATGGTTAAAATTTATTTCGTGAATATGTCTATATATTCATCTCTTCAGACCGAAAGTTCTTAATTAATAAATATTAATTAATATTTTGATAACATTCGATAGCGGCATTCTTGAGAATTTTCCGTCTAAGTTAATTTCTCTTTTAATATTTTAAGATAACTTCTCCTTTTGTTGTTATTCAACAAACTGATCTGTTACACATATATAAATATATATATATATATAATATTAGTGTTAAATATACACATACATATGTA